TACCTGGCCATAATGCTTTCACATGCTAATTCAGTAGTGAACCCGTTTATATACGCCTACCGAATACGTGACTTCAGACACACCTTCCGAAGGATCATCCGACAGCACTTCCTGTGGCATGAAAACAGACTGCCAATTGGTAACAGAAACAAAGGCATGACTGCTTCTTCTGCGCCGATTAGTGTGATTGAGACTTCTTGTACAGTGTCCAATGGCTATGTGTTGGATGCCAATCCCATTCCTGGCATGGTTTCCTGTGACAAATTTACAAAGCAAATGCCATCAAAAACCTCAAAGCCTCAAACGGAATTCCAAGACTTAGGATACAGCTTAAATGGAACTTTGGAACACTCCTTTCCCGCCAGTTCAACACAGATTTTCTCATTACATACCGGGGAGGAAGTTCACTCCATCAGGGACCATGTAGAGATCATGACTGTAAAAGACTGCAGTGCAAATACTAACGTACATGTCAGATGTCTGGTACCCATAAGGACAAGCAACTCATCTGATCTTGCAGAAGTGTCATGACACACACTTCCTTTTATTCCTCAGAAAATACCTGAATGAAGCTTGTTTCATTCTTCATGAAGTAATCACTGATCTGAATTGTTGTGCTAGTGAGGGTGACTTCACTTACAGTACTATGAAGGGTTAGGAAAGATAAAACTATGTGAGGATCACATAACTCCTGTGGGAACGCTCACTATATCAATTCCAGGAATTCCTACTTGTCTTTGCAGTCAAACACCCCTAATGGTGTTTCCAGATTTTCAGACCTCATGAAGAACGTGTTTGCTGACATTGTAGAGCATTTTCAAAGCTTATATGTTTCCAAGGAGCTTTATTAAAAGAGCATTGTTTCCTGGTCAAAGTGGGAGAGGCCTAATGGATTAAATCAATATTCTGGGGAATTCAGCTAAATCTGTCATGACCGTGCCATAAAAGACCTTGATGTGTGGCATGTTTTAAAGTATGAAGTATCATCTTTCTCTTCTTTTTTTTTTAGTAGGAGTTTGTCCAAACTGAGAACATGTACAGTCAATACAACTGCCAGAGTCTCTGTAGTGTTTTAAAACATAGGGCTGCAAGATTTGCGGAAAAAAATTGTATTGCAATTTTTTTGCTAAAAAAATGCGATTTTAAATGTGGTTTAAAAAAACTCCAGGTTTATACATCAGTATGACTATAAAAAGTAAAAAATAATTATATGATTATTATTATTACTACATAAAAAATAAGATATATTAGTAATAATACTTCACTGTAAAATAAGAAAATAACATAGTAATATATATAATAATAATAAATGCATGTTATAAGTGACCTAAACTGGAGTTTGCTGCATTTACTGTGAACCAAGCTGCTGAAAACACCGGGTTATGAGCTGCTTGCCTGTAAAAGAACACAGTGCCATGATTCACAATGAAACACGTAGCATATATGCATTATTATATTAATGAATGTATTTAATTAAATCACAGCCTTTGCAATTTGATAATCACACTAAGCCATTTTGCGATTTCAGTTTCATTTCAATTAATCATGCAGCCCTATTAAAACATGACCAAACTGAATACTATACTGATTGTAAGCATGTGTTAATATGTCAAGAAATGTACTAAATAAAACAAAGCTATACCTAATTTTGCACAAATACAGTTTATGAATAGTGATGTATAAAATCTTATGTTTGATTAGAATCACATGCAGACATCAATGATCCATTAAATCAATATCAGTAGTCCATAAACAGCTGGTTTAAGCCATAAACTGTCTGTGTAACATCAAGTGGACTTCTTGGTGCTCAATAAAGTGGACTTTGATTCTCATTTTAATGATCGCATTTTCCAGAAGAATACAAGTATAAACAATAATGAGTCACAAATGGTATGTCAAAATGAGCACTCGTGTGTAATAGATTTATTTAGTCTACAACACAACATAATGATTATAGGGATCATAAAGTTCTTGGAGGATGTAGGACAGTGCTGTTTAATCCCCACTTCTGACACGCACACATACGAGCACAATCGTGGACCCCTACACAGACCAGCTCTGATTGTATTTACAGAGACACTGGTGACGCCAGCAGCCGGCCTAATGCAAAGGAAATCAAATGAACGGGCGTTTGATGATCCCTTAAACTGGACCATTACACTTCCATTTTCCTTATTAAAAAGCTCTAGAGTGGGAAAAACCTGCACTATATACATAATACATATATTTCACACACGGGAGTCGACATTTCTGTATGTGTAACTGTCCATTTATAGAAGGCTAGAGTCTAGAGTAACCATTCATAAAAATGGAACAAGTGAGCTAGACTTTTGTGTTTTTATATCCTTGATCAATATTGCCTCTATATATTTGGCCTACGCTGAATGATCAGGACCTGTTGAGCCAACACATTTAACACATCCATTAAGTTGTTTTAAATCAGCAGACATTCTCATATTTTCCTATTTGATATATTATAGATATTATAGATATTTTCATAATATTAGATAGATAGACAGACAGATAGATAGATAGATAGATAGATAGATAGATAAAATATTACATTTAATATATTAACAGAAAACAGTTATTTTTAATTGTAATGATAATTCACAATATTATTGATCAAAATAAAGCAAACATTATATAAAAAAGTTTGATGGTGCAATGTGTCCAGCATTTGGTTATAGTACACTCTAAAAAATGCTGGGTTAAATACAACCCAGTGCGGGTCAAATATGGACTAACCCAATTATAAAGCAAACATTATATAAAAAATATATAGTAATATTTCACAATATTGCTTATTTTATATATATATATATATATATATATATATAAAATGTTTATGTATGTATGTATAGTGTATATCAGTTCAAATCTACTGGTTTGTTGATTCTAGCTGAGAAATGTCAGTCAGCTCAGCAGTGGCATGGTTTGATTTTGTGTTGAGAGCACCATTTTTAATGAGACAGATGTTCTTTACAACAACGAACCTCCAAGCTTACGCAGTAATTTATCTCCTTCCATCATGAATGCTTGTAGTGTAAATCGGTTCGGAGTGAAGCTAACAGACTGTCAGCTTGTCACATAGATCAGCAGCAGCTGGCAGGTTCATTCTGCTGCTAAAATGAGGTTTGAAGACATTGCTGAGAGTTACTGTGTAATAGGTGTACTGTGCTTTTCGGTGGTTGCAATGTCAAATGCTTTTTAGCCATATATTATTTATATACTCCCAAATTTGTTAGTTTTTACTCAAATTTTGTTGGATCGTCTAGTTTATTTTAGTACCATTATCAATCCAAGCGGATGAATATAAACTTTATTTAGGTTTATATTCAATATTAACCTAAGTAGAAGGTTTATATTGAAAATAAATTATTCAAATATCCAATTCAAGATAATCAAAATAATTTAAATATCCTCAAATCACTGAGTCCTGTTTGTGTGTTTGGTGTTTTTTTTTTTTTTTTTTTTTTATAAATAAACCAGGTGGCTGAACGTGTTAATGCTTTTCATGGGAAAAGCATAAGATGAAACCACTAACTGTTTGTCTTTCCTTTGCAGTCGCAGCAAGGGGCAGAGGTCGAGGAGGACCAGGAGGAAGGGGAAATATTTTCCAGAAAAGACGATAATGTGAATCCTGTTTCAATCACGGTGTCATTTTGTACAGTTGTTTTCTTAAATGAGAAATTGTGCTTATTTTTTTTATTTTTATTTTTTTGGGTTTGGTAAATTTTGGTGATCTTGTTGATTTTGCAACCTTTTTTCACTTTTCTCATGTAATAAAGCTGTTTACTTGCATAAAAGGTCTGTTTTTAGTGCTGCTAAACCAGTCATTCCTTAATTGTAACCGATAAAAATCTATAAACACCTCAACACTTTGGTTTATTTTGGTCGGATGAGAGAAAAAGTTTAAGTTGGGTGAAATTAAGATGTTTTACATGGTTTTTCTTTTTCTTTTTTTTTCTTTTTTTTGAATTTTTCTGTTGTAATTCATTTATAACCAGGAGGAGTGGAAAATACTGAAATTATATAGTGAAAATATGGATTTTATCTCAGATTTTGCTGACACACAGGTTTGTTTTTGTGAAAAGTGGGGACATCCCATAGGTGTAATGGTTTTTATACTGTACAGACTGTATATTGTATTGCCATACACTAAACCTACCCCTTACAGGAGACTTTGTGCTATTTCAGATTTTCAATACACCATTCTGTGTGATAAGTGTTTTGAAAAGTGGGGACATGGGGTAATGTCCTGAAAAGTCACCTTCTCCTTGTAATACCTATGTCATACCTTTTGTCATTATACAAATTTATGTCCTCATTTGTCACAAAAACGCACACACACACACACACACGTGTCCTGATTATGTGGTGCTCTAGAACAGTGGTTCCCAAACCTGTCCTGGAGGCCCCCCTGCCCTGCACCTTTTGTATGTCCTTATCTAACACACCTGATTCCACTCATTAGCTCGTTAGTAGAGACTGCAAGAACTAAACTGGGTGTGTCTGATTAGGGAGACATACAAAATGTGCAGGGCAGGGGTCCTCCAGGACCGGTTTGGGAACCACTGCTCTAGAACACCGAGAATATTCATTTGAAACCCGTTAGATAAGTTGTCCGCCTTCAGCAATGTCTGAAATTGAAGTGTATTTCTTTAGAGTAAAGAATAAATGCCCAAAGTTGTCTCCAAATAGTTGTGCAGTGTGCACTGAAGGTCATCGGCTATGAAAGTTCAGCCGGGCTAACTGTACTGGCTTAGTAAAATAGTACTTTGGGGATTTACATGAAATTGTAACAATCAAAAGTTTCATTTTTGACTTGGTGTCAAAATGCAGTTGAGTAAGACTACAGGTATTCGAGTGAAGTACAGCGATGAAGTTCAGTTCCTCAAGCTAACACGCCCCTGCTTGTCCGCGCAGCATTAGACGCAGTTCCTCTTGTGACCGTTAGATGTCGCCACTCACATTCACTCACAGCAGAAGCACCTCCGTCCCCCGCTGTCTGCACATCATACCATATCATAAACCGCTACCATTACTGCCAGCGAGCTAACATAACATTCCCTTCAAAAACAGCATCTTACAAACGGCCGAGGTAAGGACGCAACACTTGAACCAACGACTCGCACTGTAAGTCACCTCTATAACGCGACATGCGTGAACATACGTGGTCACAATGATATTATTAATCCTCGGCTGGATTTTCCAAACATCTGTTTCGTAAGAGACGCGTTAGCCAGCTTTAGCAAAATAACAACCAGCCTTAAAATTGTTCTCCACACGGAATCAGCTCTTCAAGACAGTGTCAGTGTTTGTGTGAAGCCTTTGCAGATAATATTCATGAAATCGCGTTGGATGATGGCAATTGTGAAGCAGGAGTGATCAAAGCATATACACATGAGAGCAGTTTGGTTATTGGGAAGTTGGGTTATTCTACGAAAAGGCACATTTTCAGTTTTAATAAGGTGATTTAAAGTAAAATGTCTAAACATCCAGTAAGACAATGTGTCAGTGAACCGTGAAATTAATTGTAATGTGTGCTGGGACAGGATTGATGATAAAACAGGGTCAACAGTTTTTAGTTCAAGTTGATATTGCAAGGTCGTGAAACTATAAAGTGCTCATTTGGAGAAGAATTTAATGCTGTATTTCAACAAATACTCACATTTTTCAATTTTCAAATGTTTAGCTACTATACATATTCAGCTAAACAGCGTTGATCATTTTAACTAATAACATGAGTAACAAAAAGACTTGTCCTTTTATTTTAAAATTTTGATAATTTTAATAATAAATTATGTGTGTATATATATATATATATATATATATGTATGTGTGTGTATATTAGACTTTTATGTTTTATTTATATTTATTAAAATTCTTAATATTATATGTATTGTTCTAATATAGCAAGAGGTTGGACGGACATGAGTGGGGGAAATGACTCATCTTTGTGAAGAAAGAAAAAAGCATAATATAAAGTTATTGGATTGTGTTTGAGTGTTTAAAGTTGGCATCATCTATTGAATGTTAAAGTCGTTTTTTCCCCACATATGTATTTGAGAGACAAAAATGGCACCCGTTTTGTAGAATGACCCAGTTACCGTCAGCGTTGATCATTTTAACTAATAACATGAGTAACAAAAAGACTTGTCCTTTTATTTTAAAATTTTGATAATTTTAATAATAAATTATGTATATATATATATATATATATATATATATATATATGTATGTATGTGTGTGTATATTAGACTTTTATGTTTTATTTATATTTATTAAAATTCTTAATATTATATGTATTGTTCTAATATAGCAAGAGGTTGGACGGACATGAGTGGGGGAAATGACTCATCTTTGTGAAGAAAGAAAAAAGCATAATATAAAGTTATTGGATTGTGTTTGAGTGTTTAAAGTTGGCATCATCTATTGAATGTTAAAGTCGTTTTTTCCCCACATATGTATTTGAGAGACAAAAATGGCACCCGTTTTGTAGAATGACCCAGTTACCGAAAGAATTCAGCATCCTTAATTCGTTTTCATCCTGTCTGTTTGACAGTTGAAAAGTGAAACCCGTAAAATCACTGGCTGTGTATCAACATCTAGTGAGCTGCCTGCCTAGACAGTATTTTTGGGCATGAAAGGAACATGCAAAATGTTCGTATTTCCAAAAATGCTGTCTAGGTTTTGACAGCTATTGTGTGACGATTTAATCCATATGGCTACAATGAAAGAACATATATGCATACAAGTGCATTAGATGTCAGTTGTGCTGCATTATTAACAAATGATATTTTGTATCCACTGACTTGTGGTTTCATGTTGCTTGGGTGTTTGGGTCTAAAATAGTTTGCCTTGTTTGGAGAGAGTGGCATAAGACGGTCTCTGGAGGACTTTTCCCTGTGGAATGAGCCATTGGGGTATGATTTGAAATCTAGCTGTGGGTAAACAGGATAAAATTGGTTAGTTATTTGTCAGACTTCAAGTGGAAAAAAATATGATTGAGGTTGGCGTAATTACTTTTCATTTCTTAGTTTATAGAACATAATCAGATGCTACTAACAGCCAACGCATTGGTTAGGAGAAATATCCACAGACTTGTATAAAGTGTGGAGGTTTTTTGTTTTTAAACTGCTTTCAAATTCAATATAACCTAGTATAAGATTTCAAGTAGTCCCACAGTTTGTACAAAAAGTTATGCACTTGCAATAGGAGACTATGTTACAAGGAATTTCACTGGGATAAATTTTATATAAAAAACAGTTCAAATACATAATAATTGTGCTCAGAAGTTTTAATTAAGGCATGGAAATGTGAGCTGCACATTTCTGCTTTTAGAGCCTGCTGAATATCTTGCCCCTTACTTCCATTGTGAAGGCCCCAATGTACTCATGGCAAAGATCTTTTCATAAAAACATATGAAAATGTACGCCTCAGTGTCATTGGAATTACAACTTCAATTTGTAATAAAGCAGGTTTTTACTCACGTCTGACCTCGACGGACGAAGAAAGAAAGCAGAAGAGATGAACTGAGCCCCAGAAGAAACTGAAAGAATCTTTCAGTGAACAGTTCTTAAAGGGGTCATATGATGCTGCTAAAAAGAACATTATTTTGTGTATTTGATGTAATGAAATGTGTTTATGCGGTTTAAGGTTCAAAAAACATATTATTTTCCACATACTGTACATTATTGTTTCTCCTCTATGCCCCGCCTTTCTGAAACGCTTCGATTTTTACAAAGCTCATCGGTCTGAAAAGCGAGGTGTGCTCTGATTGGCCAGCTATCAAGTGTGTTGTGATTGGCTGAATACCTCAAGCGTGTGACGGAAATGTTACGTCGCTTTCCATACTGTGGATGCCCTGTCCGGCCGGAGCGATGAGACAAAAACATTAAAACCCATTATAAACGAGGCATTGTATCGTCCTCTTTTGGAAGGCCAAACAAATTAGTTTCGCTTTCACCACGAAACACACAACATGTTCATGACATGGCGGCAGCGGCGGCAACAATACTACAGCGAGAATAAAAGTTACGCCTTCTTTCTTTGCGTGAACATTTGGGTGGCGTTATGCAAATCGTCCCACATCTTGATGTAGACATGTGGGGGCGTGTTAGAGTTTTAGGTAGGTGTGGCTGACTCTTAACTTTTATAAAGAATATCTCTTTGGATTTGAGACTTTAGTCTTTGCAACTTTACAGATCTTCTTTATGCACCAAGAGCTTGTAACACTTCAAAGAGAAAGGAAAAATTGAAATCGCATCATATGACCCCTTTAAAAAACATTTTTCTTAGTGTGAAGAACATATTAATAATCTAAATAACTTTTTTCCACTAATCTAGATAATTTTTTGTTGAATGGAAAAGATTCATGGATGTTAAAGAGTCTTCACGGAACCATAGATACCAATTACAAAAATGTAATCGCCCATGGAGCAACGGTAGTTTGAAGCAAACTTTTCCAGAGATTTTACTTTAGCAAGCTGCTTTGAACTCCAAACAAACTTCATTTTTGGCCTGATTTTGAAATGGTGTCACACCAGTTCATTCTTCGATTTTGCTTGAAGTATTTCAGGGCATTATTGTAAAACTGAGTAAAGAGTCAGAATCATTGTCTGTGGCGATGGACAGCACACCGCAGAGCATAACTCTTTTTGATGTTTCAAAGAATGCTGAACACTCCAGATGGTCCCATATGGCCAATCCTCTGTGGACCCCTTTCCCTGTGGATGCCCTGTGCATCTCACCATAATAAAGACAACTAGAGAGTGGAAAGTCATCTGGAGTAAGGCTGCATCTGTTTTGTTTCTAGGGTAAATTTGGTTTCTTGCTGGAGTTTATCTTGAGTAAGGGCTCGACTCAGTGGATCTTTTTATGCATTTGATGTTGTCCTTTGTGGAAACTCTTTAATGTAGACCCGTTTGTTATACATGTGGTCTGTGGGGGTCCAGAGATTATTTGCTTGTGGGTCTGAGTCTCCATAACAAATTAGGTTTACGTGTGTTTGGTAGGTTGGGCACGTGAAGGAGAAACACTTGGTTTGCAATCCATCAAAGATCGAAATAGGTCACAGAAGAATGTGGAAACTGCTCTCAGATTAAAATAGCTCAGCCTACCATTGCAGTCAGGCCACATCTTGCCCGCATCTACCGTGAATTTCCTGTTGTTGAAAAGAGGATGTGATACTCTGGGTTTATTTGTGTTGTCTTAGATGCTTGCATGGCCTGTGATCCTGCCGCATGAGTTTCAGATAGTTGCCTGACGCTCAGACTAGAGGTCTGCTACCCGACCCGAGCCCGACTGGTCCCAAAATACTTTCGGGTTTCGGGTCAGGTTCGGGTTCATGTTTAATGAATAGCTTCGGGTTCGGGTCGGGCTCGGGTTTATAGCTAAACTAAAACTATATGCAGTAGGGTACGCTGCTTTCATAGACGCACGCACACACATTATTGTACACGACAACACAGCACGGGAAACTTTTATTAGTAAAATAGCTTCGACAGGCTACTGACTCGCAACGTTATATTTCTCTGCAATGAGGGGGTAAAATCGCCGTTTTTGAAGGAACTAAGCCTCATTGCTTGTAGAGAGAGGCGCGCAGATGCAGGTTCACACACACGCAACTTTCATCTTTCTCTCTCTCGTGCGCACTAATTCAAATAAATGATATAAATAATTAATTCAAATAAAGATTTCGGGTTCGGTTCGGGCTCTCAATTGAACTGTGCCGCTCGGGTCGGGTCGGGTCAGATGATCTCGGGTACGGGCCGGGTTTGGGCTTCACTTTAAAGCCTGTGCAGACCTCTAGCTCAGACTGGATAAGGACACATCAATCCCTCTGAATTTCTGCACGCTTTCATCATCCCACCATCAGCACCTGTGCTGACAAATGGGTCAGACATGCCTGGCTGCTCTGTGCTCAACTGGGCTGTCTCTTTGTCATCGAGGTTGAGAGATGTGAGGACAGAAAGTCACTAACGGCGTCCACACCAGGAACAGACCAGTGATTAAAATCAGATCTGACGTTAAAGGGGACATCAAATGCCCCTTTTCCACAAGTTGGTAGGATTCTTTAGGGTCTTCATGAACTGTTTGCAACATACTTTGGTTAAAATTCCTCAGTGGTTGTGTAAAACAACACCATTTTTACCTCGTCAAAAACAGCTCTGTACACAGCGACCCGTTTCGGTGCATGTCTCTTTAAATACTAATGAGCTCTGCTCACCCGGCGATTTGCAAATAATCATAAGAAATATAAAGTGTGGGACTGGATCACGAACAGTGGGTACTGATCCATCCTTGAGTTTGAACTTTTTAGCAAAACCTACCTTGAATTATCCCTTGTTCAGAAAGCAATCTGGAGTAAAATGATTGGCGCAGACATAAACGCATTTAGGTAGATCGGGGGGCGCATTCCCTTCAAAAACAAAAGAAATCCACTGCGTCTTCTTCAGTGGCTCAGATGTGGGGAGTAAATGACGACTGCTATGTTCATTCTTACATCCAACAACAAAACACCTGAATCGCTTAGGAGACATTCTTGTCTACACCTGCTGCGGCGTCAAAACAATGGCGGTCTGTTTACAGCTCACTCAGGGCACGGCTATGCTAAAACGGTAGTGTCCGTCAACAGTCGTGGGAGGGGCATGTGCAAAGTGGCATCACTTTGCCAAGATTCTGTGAACGGCTTGCTCTGAGATAGTGCTTATGATGGGGATTTAAAAAACAGCACTGGGTGGATTTTTATCATTATAGGGTGGTTGTGTACACACACTGCTAAGACACATTTAAGTTCAAACACCATGTAAAAGTGAATTTTGCATCCGATGTCCCCTTTAAAAACGTCTCATTTCATCATGAAATTTGCCTCTTCTACTCTATCTTGAAATAGCTGATTAATTTTGTTGCGTGCTGCTTTATTAGTTAATGTGTACTAATAATAGTAGACCATTAGTGCTGTGGTGGTACAGTAATGGCATCAGATGTCAATGACATGATACTGAATGATTACCTTCAAAGATTGACCAATAATCACTTCAACCAGTAGGCTATTTCTTACCAGTATTTGCACTTTTAAACACAATCAGCTCTTTAATAACTACCTACACTATCATTCAAAAGTTTGGGGATTTAATGTTTTGGATATCTTGAAATAGCTGATTAATTTTGTTGCGTGCTGCTTTATTAGTTAATGTGTACTAATAATAGTAGACCATTAGTGCTGTGGTGGTACAATAATGGCATCAGATGTCAATGACATGATACTGAATGATTACCTTCAAAGATTGACCAATAATCACTTCAACCAGTAGGCTATTTCTTACCAGTATTTGCACTTTTAAACACAATCAGCTCTTTAATAACTACCTACACTATCATTCAAAAGTTTGGGGATTTAATGTTTTGGAAAGAATGCTCACCAAGGCTACATTTATTTGATCAAAAATACAATAAAAACTGTAATATTGTGAAATATTATTACAATTTAAAATCACTGTTTTGTATTTTATATAAATATTTTAATCATTTAAAATTTTATTTATTCCTGTAATGGCAAAGCCAAATGTTCAGCAACCATAATTCAGTCCTCTGTATCTCATGATTATTCAGAAATAGTTCTAATATGCTGATTTGGTGCTCAAGAAACATTTCTTCTTATCTAGTTTCTTTATAAGTGTCATTAAGTTTAATAATAAGCATAACCGTATTGTCTGCCTGACTGATGATCTGTGTTTTAAAAATGTTTATAACACCGTATGTTGCACATATCATCTAGCGTGACGTTACAATCACTTGGCTGTCACTTAAAATCTAAAATCCATCATTCATCGTCCTACTGGCTGAATCTCTTAGTAGGTGATGGATGATGAGAGACAGTTTAATAAACAAAATAAACAGGATTTTTACATTTTATACATAAATGTGAATGGTGCTTGCTTTACCATACAAAGGTTGACACTTATATTGTTTCTAAGGTGTTCTCTGTGGTTTCTAGCATGTTGCTAGGTGGTTGTATGATTATAAAGTGGTTTAAATTAAGAGTTTACCAAGTTTCTATTATATTATGCTGTCTAAATATGGCTTGAGTCTCTCTTTCAATGTAATTTTTGATCCATTTTTGAGAATAGAGGTTATTTCCAGTATAAAAGTGAAATTTTTTGTGAGAAAGTGTCATTTTTAGCTAGAAAAGCTTGAATTCTTATTTAAGGTGAAAATGAGTGTCAGGGACGTAATAAATGGGAAATGGATGCGGGAGGGGTCAAAGATGAGGAACGCTAAGAAAAATAGTGTTTTTTTCCCACGGTGTTCTCGAATGAGGGAGAGAGAACACCCTCTTCCAGCTGTGTGGGTGTTTTGACAGGAGAGCGCATGGAGGCAAGGCCCCGAGATGGTATTACAGCAAAAACATAAGTAGAGATTCGATCGCAGATGAAGAAATGACAGGGAACGAACCGAGAAAGAGAAGAAAAACCAAGCCGCTTTGGATCTCGGTGAATGCGAGCGATAGAAATGAGGACGCTTGGAGGGGGTGGGCCAGCCCACACAAGTTCTCCTTTGTGAACCCCTCGGAGTAATGAATGTCTTTTTTTATTGTACCTGCTCATATTTCTCTCATTCTGCGAGACCCACACCTCTCCCACACACACAGAGAGAGTCTCCAATGTTCAGGAAATCTGCTTGCCAAAGAAACTACATAAAAAAACAGAGGCTCAGGGCAGAATGGAGATATGTAATCTTGCGAGCAGGCTTTGCTTGAATAACGTTTGAAACATCTTATATTTATAAGCTTATTAGCTGTATTCAGTCATTTAATCCGTACAGGTAAACTATTTTCAGTGTAATATAATTTTATAACAATGACCTGAAAAATGTTTTTGAGTCAAAAGTTTGTTCCCAATTAGGCTTTTTCCTAAAATTAGCGTCAGGGAAAACCCAAGAATATCAAGGAATTTTGAAATGGTGATTTTGTGTGTTGAATTTAGGTGTGTGTGTGTGTGTGTGTGTGTGTGTGTGTGTGTGTGTGTGTGTGTGTGTGTGTGTGTGTGTGTGTATATATACATACATTGCTCTTTGTGATCTCTATATGGGAGGCAATATCTGCAAAAAAAAACGTTTTAGAATTCATAAATACTTGTATACATCACAACAATAAATATCAGGAATTTTTTAAATGGTACTGCCTTGTGAAAGTCATGGGAATAAAAAAATGAAATTTAGTTATGCTCAACTCGAAATATGTTACAAATATTTAAAAATACATTTGTATATTTATGTTATAGTTCATATCTAAAATATTAACATCAGTTTATTATTGGACACTAAACAACTGAATACTAATTATTACATAAATATCAAATATTTATATAATAGGTACAATAATTATATGATAAAAAAATAACATATAAATTATACATTATAAAATATTGGGGATTGGGTAAAATTGATTGATTGAATGGGATTGGATATATAAAATATTGGGTGGGGAATATCAGGAAAAAACATGGAAAAACAAATTAAAGAAAAAAAAAATGAAAGGATCTTTTAACTTGACTTAAAAGGCTTATTTTCTGTCTGAATGTAAAGTAATCATAACGCCCATTCCTACATGATATTCAAAGTCAAGGAAATTCATTGGTCAAAAGCTGGGGGTACCATGTGCGCTGACGTTCTGAATGACATCTAACATTTCCAAACTCTGTTTTTCCTGCAAGGCGTTGATGGAGGGGCTACTGAGAGGTGTTTGGGAAGCACACTATGTTTCCCTGTGTCTCCACCTGGCCCTCTTCTGATCCCCCTGCCGCTCTGGGCCATGCTCCGCCCATTCACCCGGTTCAGCCACCCAATCAGCCACTGCCTGACCTGCTGCGGAGCTGTGTTGTGCTCCCTTCCCCATCCACACGCCTGAGCTCTTGTACCAACGAGATGGAGTCTATGATTGTGGTGACGGAGTATGAGCCCAGTGGTGGCTCAGGGCAGGAGGGCGGAGAGGAGGAGGAGGTGGAAGACATGGACAGCTCGGAAACGCCAGAGCCGGCGTTGTCAGGTCAGGTACCACCCTTCCGTATGGCCTCCTGTGATCTTTTATCCCACTCGGTGGGCCGCCCGGAAGCGCTCTTCCCAGAATCGCAGGAGCACAGAGGTAGACTCAGCCTCTCCAACAGGAAGCTGTCACTACAGGAACGCTCGCAGACGCTTTCGTCGCCCTGCGGTTCTCCGGGGCTGAACGGACGCTATATTTACCCATCACTGCCCTACTCGCCAATCACCTCCCCTCACTCATCTCCACGCCTCCCTCGAAGACCAACCGTGGAGTCTCATCGTGTCTCCATCACAGACCTGCAGGTAGGTGGCCGGAATTAATGGCAGGTGTGTTTAGAACTGTAGGGAAGTCCCTTACAAATATATCAATCAATTAAATCTTTAAATAAAATAAAATATTAACATTTTTGGAATGATGCTCAATTAAATTTTTTATATAATATTTATCTAAATTATTAATATCAATTAATTCATAATTACATATTAAATATAAATATTACATATTATATAATATAATATATAAAATATACATTATAAAGCAATGGGGCTAGAAATTGCTCCTTGTGATCACAATATTATTTTTAAATGGCTTGTAGGCTGGAGACAATTTTTTATAATTATGCTGAACTAAAATGTTGCAAATATTAAAAATATTTTTTATTACTCATAATATTTAATATCTAAATTATTAATAGCAATGAATTATTATTTACATATTAAATATAGATAATAAATATATCGTATAATATATATAAAACTCACATTATAAAATATTTGTGATCTCTATATTTTAAATGATGTAGGCTTGTAAAAGTGGCCTGAAGCCTTGTAAATGTCATGGAAATAAAATATAGAAAGGTTTGTAATTATGCTCAACTCAAAAATGTTGCAAATATATAAAAAAAATATGTTTTTTATTATGTGTTTAATATAAAAATTATTAATGTCAATTAATTAATCTCTGTATTTTAAATGATATAGGCATGTAAAAGTGGCTTGTAGGCTTGTGAATGTCACAGAAAAAAAACTAGTTTTTCTAATTGCGCTCAACTCTAATGTTACAGTTTTTTAAAAATATGTTTTATATTATTATAAAATAATATATGGTTCTTATCATGCCTAACAATTATGTAAGATTATATAATTGCACCACCAAAAACTAAACAATCTGATGCTGTAGCCTGAGATAATTTGAGCTGCTTGTGTGAGAACTGATGTTGTCTTTGAGAAGAACATTTCCTTTTCTTCATTCTCTGCAATGGCTTCAAGTCTGCAAGCTTGAGAGGGTATGTGAGGTAAGGTTACAGACAGGAGCAATTACCTTTCTCTTAATGGCGTTTGTCAAGAGAAAGTTCCCCTGTAGATGCTTCTGCTTTTCCATTAGGACATGAAATCAGCGAGAAATGTGCGTAGCTCTTTAGCTTGTGTACCTTTCTCAGCTCAAGTCAGTGTTATTTTAGTATCATTGATATGCTATTATAGTTTTTGTTAACGTTTTGAATTCAATTAAAAATATATATATTTTCTGTTTTCAAAGTTTTAGTAATTTTGTTGTGTATTTTTGTCAGTTTTTGTTTTTGTCTATATAGTTTTTATTCACTTGTATTTATTCGTTTGAGTTATTTTAGTTTTTCAAATTAAGCTAAACGAAAATGAGAAATGATGCCTTTCAGCTAGCTGAAATAAAGTAAGTTTTTTAATATTTTATTTCAATTAACATTTATTTTAGTTTTAGTTAACTATAATAACCCTGGCTCAAATATTCCCTTGTAAAACTTCTGCTAATGCTTTTGATTCTTTGAACCTGGAATGTTGCAAGCATCATTCTTGACGAGAGAATCAAGTTTGCATTTGCTGTGATCTTTGGCCACACATGCTGAAGTAGTTATCTTTCTTCAGTGACTACAGTTCCTTAAAAAAGACCTCAGTGTCATTGATTGATATCATTTGTTTCTTTATTTCAAAAGGACTGCGTGCAGCTCAACCAGTACAAGCTGAAAGATGAGATCGGAAAGGTATGTTTATTTTTCATTTATTATTTATGTATAGATCATTTCCTGCTGAGGCTGGGATGAATGAACACTTTACTGAAAGATTAATTTGAGCCGTTTTCCTTATTTCAGAACAAACAAACATCTCACATATTTCATATAGTAAAAAATGTGTGAAGTAACAAAATACGTGAGGCATACAGATGTACAGTTGGTCATTACAAAATTAACCACATGAAATTATCCCACATTTTTCTTTTTCTGGATCTTGGCTAATAAATAAATAAATAAATACTCATGAAATATTTGGGGTCGGTAAAATTTTTAAACGTTTTTGGAAGAAGTTTCTTATGCTCACCAAGGCTGCATTTTATTTACCCAAAAAAAACAGTAAAAATAGTTAAATTGTGAAATATTATTGTAATTTAAAATAATGGGTTTCTATTTTCATATATTTTGAAATATAATTTATTTCTGTGATGGCAAAGCTGAGTTTTCAGCAGCCGTTACTACATTCTTCAGTGTCCAGAAATCAATCTAATATGCTCATTTGGTGCTCAGGAAACGTATTCTTCTTATTATGATCAATGTTTAATGTGCAATATTTATATGAAATCAATCTTTTGTAACATCATAACTGTCTTTACTGTCACTTTTTATCAATTCAAGCATCTTTGCTGAACAAAGATATTAATTTTTTTTTTTTTTACTGAACTCAAACTTTTAAACTTACTTAATAATAAATAGAGTGATACAAGACATAACTATTTACAAATGTAAAAAAAAAAAATATATAAATATATATATATTTTTTTTTACAGGGTACCATGGTAATACCATAGAGTTTGAAATAACTTGGAATACTAATTAATTTCATATTATATGCATCATCTCCATTCGAGGGCATGGAAAACTGTCAGCTTGGATGGGGAGATTCCTGTTCTGCTCTCATCTCTGTGTTTGAGGGTTGGATTCCCTGCTGGAACAGCAATCTGCTCTCCCAGTTGGGACCTGTGTGTGTGTGTGTAGGTTTGAGGGAGATAGAGACGGAACAGAAGTGGAATTATGCCTGTCTATGGCATTCATCATGACGCCGGCTGTTGCCTACTGGCTTAGTTTGGTTTACGTGTTCTCCAGTTAATCAAACGGCACAAATGCTTGGCCACTTTAGTCTCCTGTTTCCCACCGTTTTTGCATGTTACTGAGTGTGTTTGTGTTGCGATTTGATCCAGTTACAAGTTGTCCTGATTGATACGCCTTGTTTTCCTGATAAAGGGCTCCTATGGAGTTGTCAAGCTGGCGTACAATGAAGACGACAACACATACTATGTGAGTGACGCAACACAGTCTCATGATCTTGCACAAATATATAAACACTTCATGTGTGATGAGTAAAGGGCTAACATCCTAGTGTTATCAGTAATCATTAAATTACGATTGCTTAGTTGAGGTTGTCTTAAGCAGTCAGTCTTAAAATAGTCACATAGACACTGTCCATTGAGAAGTTCCTCATAACGGGTTTGAACATCATAATTATTATGTGATTTTAATTGAAATAAAATGCATTTTAGCACTAGTGCATCAAAATAAAGTGCAAAGCATGCCATAGAGAATGATGGGAAATTTAGTATCCTTGCACAAGCCCATGGCCTCATAATCCAGCTAAATTATCAGTAATCATATATTACTTTATCTCTGTTCTCACTGTTGACTAAATTACTGTTTCTTACTGTATTGTAAGTATATATGTATATGTATGTGTAAATATTTTTTATTTGTAAATATCCATATATTGATTATTATTAGTAGTAGTAGTAGTATTAATATTAGTAGTATTATTAGCATGATTAACATGTATAATAATAATAGTAGCAATACATTGCTATAATATTTTGATGTTAACTTAATGTTGATCATTCCTCTGATTATTTATTGCTATTTTTCTTTCTTTTAATTATTTATTGCTAATTTTATCTTAATTTTTTGTGCAGTTGTACACCTCACACAGTGCTGGTATATACAGTATGGCAACAGAATGAAAAAGGGAAAAGATATATAGATAGATGATAGCCAGTCTTAAAATATTATTATTATTATTATTTTGTTGTTGTTGATATATTGATTACCGAAATTATTTTTCTTTTTTCATATTTTTTTTTGGCCATGCTGTATTGTTGGGATTTGATAAATAATTTAATTTAAAGAAATTTGAAATAGAATATCCCTGATAATAGTGATTATGAACATGCTGCAATAATAATAATATGTTGCTGTAATATTACATTAAATATTAACTTAAAATTGCTCAATCCTCTGATTAATTGTTAGTTTTTTATATATATATTTTTTTTTTGGGGCAGTTGTAGTCCTCTCTCTGTACTGTTTGTAGAATGGGGCATATGTCGCCCAGCACCAGTAATGACACTGGATATCTGTTCTCACTCGCTCATTCTCACTGCTCTCCACAGGCCATGAAAGTGCTGTCCAAGAAACGACTGATGAGGCAGGCTGGGTTCCCGCGTAAGTGTCTGCTTTAAAGCAGATGGAACGCTCAGCGGGGTTTATGATTGAGTTTATGTGTGAGTGTATGTGTGTATGAGGTTGGGGGCACAGTTTCATCAGCTAGCAGAATGCCCAATACGTCAACCTTTCACATGATTTCCTCTTGTGCCGGTTTAAACAGGCAGACCTCCTCCTCGTGGTGCAAAATTGGCCCCTGAGGGCCCTCCTCAGCCCAAAGGGCCTCTGGAGCGTGTTTACCAGGAGATAGCCATCCTCAAGAAGCTTGATCACCCTAATGTGGTTAAGCTTGTGGAGGTGGGTGCTTGTATTGTCAATATGCAGCCAAAGTGGCGCTGTTGCACCTGTGTCTCCAGACTTTAGTGTGTAATTTATGCACCACTAGTGCAACCAAGTGGAATTTAAAAAATAATGACTATTTGCAAACAGGTTTCCTATCGTCCTCCTATTAAACTGGGATGGGGAAAATTACACACCTCATATTAAATTTGACATTGAGAGATATAGAGATTCTTAAATGTTGTACACACTTGTACACACACAAAAAATGTGTCTCCAGACCTAAATGTTAAATTTTTGCACCACCAAGTTGAGTTAAAAATAATGACCATTTTCAAACAGGTTTCCCAAACATTCCCACCATTGGAACAGCAAGTCCACTCAATTTACTAAACTGGGATGGGGAAAGTATTTTAAACTTGAAAAAAATGACATGCATCAAATTAAATTTGACATGAATAAAAATAAGGCAGTGAGGAATAGAAATACAGTTTAAGCATAAATCTAAAAAATATTTAGTGTGGTTAATGCTTAAAAAAGTATACCAGGAAAAGAAAAGTTATTGTAAATATTTTTACTGGAAAATAAGACAGAAATACTGATTAAGAAAATAATTATTTGCAGTGTATATGATATGATATGTACTGGCTAGTTATTATTTAGCCAATAAAAACACTAAAAGAAAGCTTTTCCACAAATTTCCAGTGGACCAAAAAGTCAACAAAACTGTTTGTTAAAAATTAAATGTTGATGCACGTTGACATTGATGCAGTCTGTCATATTGATTGGACTGTATTTCTATCCCTCAAACCCTTGTTTGCATTTACATCAAATCAGATATGGCATAATATAAGGTCTATGCTGACTGGTTTCTTTCCCTTTCTAAACCGCTTTGGTTTTTTTGTGCAGGTGCTGGATGATCCAAGTGAGGACCATCTGTACATGGGTAAGTCTGGCCAGATACTCATCGTCTTGGCAGATGCTACATACTTGCACATGCACAGTTTATTCTACTTTTCTGTGCTAAATGTATGTGAAATCAGAGAAGGTAATGCACAGCATCCTAACACTGTTTCCTGTGTGCTTTCACAGTATTTGAGCTTGTCAAACGAGGGTGAGTAAGCATGTTATTTCTGATTATAGCGGCGGCCCATGCTGTGCTAGTGTCACTCTGCTAGAGAAACTGTGTCTCGTTCCCCATGTGTTTGCAGAGCAGTGATGGAGGTTCCTACTGATAAGACCCTGGATGATATGTACTGGCTAGTTATTATTTAGCCAATAAAAACACTAAAAGAAAGCTTTTCCACAAATTTCCAGTGGACCAAAAATGCAGTCTGTCATATTGATTGGACTGTATTTCTATCCCTCAAACCCTTGTTTGCATTTACATCAAATCAGATATGGCATAATATAAGGTCTATGCTGACTGGTTTCTTTCCCTTTCTAAACCGCTTTGTTTTTTTTGTGCAGGTGCTGGATGATCCAAGTGAGGACCATCTGTACATGGGTAAGTCTGGCCAGATACTCATCGTCTTGGCAGATGCTACATACTTGCACATGCACAGTTTATTCTACTTTTCTGTGCTAAATGTATGTGAAATCAGAGAAGGTAATGCACAGCATCCTAACACTGTTTCCTGTGTGCTTTCACAGTATTTGAGCTTGTCAAACGAGGGTGAGTAAGCATGTTATTTCTGATTATAGCGGCGGCCCATGCTGTGCTAGTGTCACTCTGCTAGAGAAACTGTGTCTCGTTCCCCATGTGTTTGCAGAGCAGTGATGGAGGTTCCTACTGATAAGACCCTGGATGAGGACCAGGCACGCTTCTACTTCCAGGACTTGCTGAGAGGAATTGAGTATTGTGAGTGCGGGAATTTAGCTAATGGTTAGCAGTGTGATCAGTACTCATGATTGTTGCTAATACATCCAGATAAAGGGGCAAGGTACATTTTCATGGACTCGTGCCATAGGCTGGGCTCTTTGTAGTCTCATTGAGCCAAACGTTTAGACTAAAGTCTTGTCAGCATATCTTATACTTCCCAAGAACCACCTACTTAGCAGTGTTATTTTAGTATTATTTATATACCATTATAGTATTAATTAATATTTTGAATTAGCTTCTATTTTTATATTTTCAATTTTCATTGTAATTTTAGTTTTCATGCTTAGCCCATTGCTTATTTTGTCCCAAGAACTGACGAAATTAGCAGTGTTATTTTAGTATTATTTATACAATATTATAGTATTTATTAATCATTCGAATTAGCTTTAAATATATTTTCGGTTTACATTTCATTAGTCATTTTGTTATTTTTATTAGTTTTTGCTTATTAGTTTTTTTATATTTCTATATAGCTTCAGTTTGTTTTATTTCATTTTTAGTTTTGTTAGTAATTTCATTTTTATTAGTTTTTGCTTATTAGTTTTTTATATTTCTATATAGCTTCAATTTGTTTTATTTCAGTTTTAGTTTTGTTAGTAATTTCATTTTGATTAGTTTTTGCTTATTTTTTTTATATTTCTATATAGCTTCAATTTGTTTTATTTCAGTTTTAGTTTTGTTAGTAATTTTGGTACTTAAACTTCTATTATTTCAGTTAGTTGCCAATACAACATTTACAATTTTTGTTTTCATTTAAGTTTTTCATCTAATATTTATCATTTTATTTCAGCTTTATTTCTATCAATTAACAAAAACATTTTTAATAGTTTTGTTAATAGATAGATAATAGTAATAGATCAAGAAAGTTCTTGATGTTTTTATCTGCAATATACATCAAATTGTGAAACTAGATGCAGTCATCAAAATGCATTAAATAACGATTAAAAGTGATGGCAACTTCTCATCCTCAACAGTACATTATCAGAAAATCATTCATCGGGACGTCAAGCCTTCCAACCTGCTTGTGGGAGAAGATGGCCATGTTAAAATTGCCGACTTTGGGGTCAGTAACCAGTTTGAGGGAGCAGACGCCCTCCTGACCAGCACAGTTGGGACACCAGCATTTCTCGCCCCAGAGACCCTCTCAGAGACCCGCAAGAACTTCTCTGGAAAGGTTAAAAGCTCTATTCTCTAAGCTAGTTGCTAATATCCTGTCAGTCTTGCTGTCAATTTTGATTTAGTCAAGTTAACATCATGTTTTTATAGGCTCTGGATGTGTGGGCGATGGGAGTCACCTTGTACTGTTTTATCTTTGGAGTGGTATGCCCTTTGTATATATCATGAAATATGTCTTGTAAACAGTAACAATTCAGCAAAACAAATTCTTTTTGACGTGGTCTTTGACTTTACTTCCTTTCTTTACAGTGTCCGTTTATGGATGAGCGTATTTTGAGCCTCCATCAGAAGATCAAGACCCAACCAGTGGAGCTTCCTGAGAAGTGAGTATTTCTCTTGAGCCTGAAAGACCGTCCCCATCCCGATGTTCTGACATTGATAGCATTTTTGTCCCACTTAATAGCGCAGACATATCAGATGACTTAAAGGACCTTCTTTTTAAAATGTTGGACAAGAATCCTGAAACCAGAATTACCGTCCCACAAATCAAGGTGAGTGTGACTTTTATTTCACCAGTGACGCCACCTTCAAGTTTAGCAAAGGTGATACGTGTCATTTCCGAGCTATTAACGTCACCAGTATTAACGTCACCAGCCCTCATCTGTGATTGGTCAGAAAAATGAATGGTTTTGGCCTAGAATTACGCTATTGGTTGATGTTTTTTTAATTGTCAATTTTTTGAAACCATACATGCTACTGTTCAAAACGTTGGGATCAGTAAGATTTGGCTGATGGTTTTGAAAAAAGTTTTATGCTCACCAAGGCTGCATTAATTCAAAAATGCATATACAAAAAACAGTAATATTAATAATTAATATTATAAACAGTAATTTAACTTTTTTGTTTTTATTTTAAAATACTTTAAAATGTATTTTATTCCTATGATGGCAAAGCTGAATTTTCAGCAGCTGTTAGTCCAGTCTTCCGTGTAACATGATCCTTTAGAAATGATTTAATTTGCTGATTTGGTGTTCAAGAAACATTTCTCATTCTGAATTCTGAATGACTTTGAAAACAAATATTTTTCCAGGATTCATTGATTAATGGGGCATTTATTTGAAATAGAAATAGAAAACATTATAAATATCTTTACTTTTACTTTTGATCAACTTAATGCATCCTTGCTAAATAGAAGCATTCTTTCAAGAAAAAATCTTACTGACCCCAAATGATTTGTACTTGGTAGTATATTTTTTCTTATGTTATAATCAGCCTCCATACTTCAAATGGACCAAAAATGAAACCCTTCTTTGTTCTTAAAAGATGATTTCAAAGCACTTCCTGTGTGAATATAGGACACTCCAGCTGCCTAGACACAGTCTTGAGTTAATGAATGATATCAAAGCAGGATTTCTGTTCCGTTGTTGTTGTTGTAGGTGCACCCATGGGTGACGCGGCACGGCGCTGAGCCCCTCCCCCCTGAGGATGACAACTGCTGCAGCCTGATAGAAGTGACAGAGGAGGAGGTGGAAAACTCTGTCAAGCACATCCCCAGCCTGGCCACTGTGGTGAGATCGCAAGCCCCTGGTGGACTATTTGTTTTTATGAATACACAAAATGTATTCAATGTTAATAACCTCATCAAATGTATAAACAGATTAATGACCCACACAGATTACAGCCCAAAGCCTGTTTTTGGAGTTACTTATACTTGCTGCATGCTCTCTGCTATAGATCTTGGTTAGGACTATGCTGCGCAAGCGTTCATTTGGGAACCCGTTTGATTGGGGCCGCAGGGAAGACAGGAGTCCCGCCGCACCAGGACACACACTATCGTAAGTCTTCCTCATTAAGGATGGGCTATAACTGTAACAGACTTCCTGAACCAAGACTTGGAACTCTGCAGTGGATTCGGTGGTCATAGAAATCTGAAAATTGTTTGCCTAGCTTGTTTGACAGTAATTTAATTGTAACTACTAGTATAGATGTACTAACTATAACTACACTAGGTCATACTGTAATACTATAATGATAAATCTTCAGTGTATTTTGAGGTAAAGTAGAGCTTAATATCTATGCAACGTTTCCACAGAAAATAATTTTGACTAGTTTCTCAATTGCTTAAAAATGAATGAAAAATGTGTTTACAGTAATGCACTTAAAATAGAAGCCTGGCAGGCAGGCTGTCTATTTATTAATATTTTTATTCCGCAAGGATGCACTCAATTTATCAAAAGTGACAGTCAAGAGTCAAGACATTTATAATGTTACATAAGATTTTCATTTAAAAAACCAAACAAACAAACAAAAAAAGCTGTTCTTTTAATCAAAAAATAAAAAAATAAAATGAATTCATAGTTTCCTCAAATATATTTGACAGCACAACTGATATTTGACGCTGAAGACTGGAGTAATGGCTGCTGAAAATTCTGCTTTTTCATTACAAATAAATTACATTTTAAAATATATTACACTAGAAAACTTGTTTTTATTATTAAATTGTAATAATATCTCACAAATATCACTCTTTTTACTGTACGTTTGATTAAATTAATCCAGCCTTGGTGAGCATAAAAATTTTATTTTTTTTACTCCAACCTGTTGAATGGTAGTGTACATTTTTAATGCACTAAATCTTCAGTAAAATGTATGTCATTTAACCTCTAAAGTTTACATAATTTTTTTAGATGAGACTGTTATGTGTTATTAACCGTCAGTTAATAAATGAATGTTCTTGAACTTACACAACACACTATCGCATTATGAAGCCAAAACTACAATGGTCACATTAAACATGTTTATTGTGTTTTCAGTTAGCTCACAGTTACCAAACTAACTGTGTACCCTACTACGCTAAAATACTTTAAACAATTTAAATATGAAACTTTCTTAAAAAGTAAAATTCTATATAGTATGAATGTGTGTAGTATCAATGTAATCCTGACGTGCTACAATCGTCATTGCCATGTGACCTAAAGCGTTAGTTATGTTGCTTCACTGCCATTCACAAATCCTCTCTAGTGGCCTCATGGGATAGTAAAGTGACCCATCAGATGCACACCTCAGAATCTCACCGGAAGTAGTAGGTCTTCCGGGTACTTTTTGCATAATGTCTAATGCGGGGGTCTCCAAACTCGGTCCTGGAGGGCCTGTGTCCTGCAGAGTTTAGCTTTGGAGATCCCTGGTCTAATGAATACTGTGAATTCAGACACCTATTATATTATTCAGATGCCTATTATATATACAAAGCTGTAGAGTTGTTTTTATCATTTTATGACTCATGAGCGCCCCCTTGCAGCTATGCTCCCTGTTGAAGCTATCATTACAATGCTTTGCTAGTAGCAAAGTAGTAATATCTTACAATAATAGCTTTGCTAAGCTCGTTAAAGGGATAGTCCACCCAAAAATGAAATTTCTGTCATCTTTGACTTACCTTCATGTCATTTCAAACCTGTATGACTGACTTACTTCTGTAGAACATAAAAGAAGATATTTTGAAAAATGTGGGTAACCAAGTAGTTGATGGTAGCCATTGACTTCTATACTATTTTTTTTGTTCATGCTATGGAAGTCAATGGCTACCGTCAACTGTTTGGTTTCCAACATTCTTCAAAATACCTTCTTTTGTACTCAACAGAAGAAAGAAATTCATACAAGTTTGGAATGATATGAGGGTGAGTAGAATTTTCATTTTTGAGTGAACTGTCCCTTTAACCTATAGTTGTTGTTGTTGATATTTAATAAACAAGGGACAAGCATTAATTATTTTCTGTGGTAATCGTTAGCATATTTCAGTTATATTTAATGAAATATTCCTTTAAGGCTTTTTTAGTCATGTTTGCAGGAATATTTAATAGAAACGCTCCGATTTAAGAATTCTCACGTATCCGCATCTCTCCTGCCGTCTAGAAAAGGGAGAGCAGGGAGTTTGAAATACTGCTGCAATCTCGGTACCCCCAGGTAAAGCTCCGCTAGCCTGTTAGCGCTCCACATATGTCCTGTTCACTCTCCTCCACCTATATTATATGTAGGAGATAATGGTCATGCCCATTTTGAATGATCTGCGCTTAAAAGGAATGGTGTGGTGTTTTTGTAGCATGCTCAAAACTATTATCATTCAGATGGCTTAAAGAATAACAAGCTTTTCCGCTTGTATTCTCCTACCTGATAAACAGCATTTTATGCATGTAATATTTAAAATATTCATGATATTCCTTCTTAAAAACCTTTAATAATCAACCCTTAGTACATCAAGCATTTATATTTTGCATGTAATGTTTTAACAGATAAAAAATAAGCTCATGTATGTCCTATAAGTTCATGGGCAGTTCAGGATGATGTTTTCCAGGTCCTTCTATATCTGGGAGCATCCTGATTTGCCGTCCAACCATGGTCATTTTTTACAAGGACACTGATTGGTTTGTCGGACTGGGTGCATTTTGCATGCGGCGTTACAGTCCTGGCCTTCCCAGTCTAACCCCTTCGCAAAAACATGGTAGTCAGTCATTCTCATTTGCCTATTTCCGACCCGAGCATATGACTGATGCGATGCCATGTACTCCCCCTCGTGCTGACTTAATTTCCCCGCTGCCTAACAATTCTAGCTGCACTTAACAACAAGTCTGCATTGCCATAGACTGGGTTGACATGCCTGGAATGTGCAGTTATTTTAAACCTCCACATTTGTCTGTTTCCTAGGAAACAAGAGAGCGAGGAAGGCATGCGGAGCATGGACCTGCCCTTCGTGGGCGAGGATGAAGTTCTTTCCTGATAGTTGTGGGTGTCTTACTCGGGGGGAAATGCGCAAGGATGGGGCTGTCGTGGCTTCCGGAAGGCCAGGATATGGACCTGGGGCTGGGGCGTGGACGGAAAGATGGAAGAAAGGAAGAAGCTCTTGTTGGGTTGTTTATGTGGAGGGTGCCCACCCACTCATGCATGCATTTGTACAGTCCACAGCAGCATGCACTGTTTCTGTCCGCCTAGGTCTCTGCCATCTCTCAGGACCTGTTTTCTGTGTGCGCGCGTGTTTTTACTCTCCTCTCCGGCATGGAGACTCTGCTTTACTCCCCTACTTCCGCTAGGGGGCGCCACCGCAAAGCAAAACAGAATTTTTGGGGAAAAATTTTACAATTTATTAGGTTTGTCCATCACTCATTAATTAGAGAGACATGCTTCTTTATTGCAGTTTTACAGATCTTATAGATATTTAGAACTGAATTTGAAAGTAATAAAATAAAGACTTTCATCAGAAATTAATTTCTCGAAAGAAATCTTGAAAATCAGGTTTGTTTGTTCAAATAAAGTAAATAATGTATATAAATAAATATCAAGGCAAATAAAATAATAAATAGCCTTTGCACATTTGCGGACAACAACCTTTAACTAGTTTTTAAATCTTAATTGGTGATTCATTAGGTTTGTCCATCACTTATTAATTAAAGGGTTAGTTCACCCAAAAATGAAAATTAGCCCATAAATTACTCACCCTCAAATCATCCTATGTGTATATGACTTTCTTCTTTCAGATGAATCCAGTCGGAGTTATATTAAAAATGGTCTTTGATCTTTCAAGCTGTTTAATGCCCCTCAGCGGGTGTTGCATGCAGTGTTCGAACTATACTGTGGACTTTGGGGGAGCCCACTTGTTTTGTTTTTTTATAAAGGGGGGGGGGGGTTCGGGCCTCAAAAGGGGGCTTACAATGAATTACAAAGATACATAACAGCTACAAGTGTATGCACTACTTGCTTTATGCAAGCACTATATAGGATAAATCACTATACAGGATTTACCCTATTATACTTTATCGACAGGAATTGATAGGTGAAACAACAAACAGCCACCCACAAATAGTCTATAAACAAAGCATTAGGCTGTCTTTGAGTTCACATGAACAACGGTTAAAGTTCCTCGTTGTCAGGCTACAGAAGAATGCCATAATTCCTCCGTTCAATTAGGCCTAAGACATCGAGAGTCACGCAGACCTATAACAACCCAGCCACAACACATAATTGTGAATAACATGCCTTACCTTAACACAGAATCGACCACAGAGTCCAACGTTTATAATAAAAAAAAAGTGTCTCACACAGCTCCGGGGGTGAACAAAGGCCTTATGTAGTGAATCAATGTGTTTTTTTTGTAAGAAAAATATCCATATTCAAACCGTAATAATCACTTTAATGTAGCTTGCGCTCACTGTTGTACATGGAAAAAAGGTTCCGGGTGGATGACCTCTGAAGTCAGCGTTGCGCATGCGCTGGTGAGTCTCGTGAAAACAAACGTTTGTTAACAGGAGCAAAGGAAGCAAAGTTTCCTTACTTTAGCAAAGGAAACCCAGTCTCCTCTAGGCTTATATCGAAATCCTCCGACATTCTTCTTTACAAATCCTCGTTTTGTACTTCTAATTAGTGACCGTTGTTTTGTTTTGATCTCTCCCTTGCGCTTCCGCGTGCGTCACTTCTGAGCGGCGCATGTGCAAAGCTGACCTCATACGTAATTCCCCCGGAACTGCTTCCAGTGTGTGCAAGCTACATTCAAGTGATTATTAAGTTTTGAATATGGATATTTTTCTTACAAAAAAACGCATCGATTCGCTACAGGAGGCCTTTGTTCACCCCCCGGAGCCGTGTGAGACACTTTTTTTTATGGATGGCCGCTTTTTATTTAACTGCTATTGGACGGATGCATGCAACACCCGCTGAGTGGCATTAAACAACTTGAAAGATCAAAGACCATTTTTAATATAACTCCAACTGGATTCGTCTGAAAGAATAAAGTCATATACACCTAGGATGATTTTAGGGTGAATAATTTATGGGATAATTTTCATTTTTGGGTGAACTAACCCTTTAAGAGATTGTATTGAGATTGTATCACTGCCTGATTGTAAATGATATCATATGATTTGAAAATGATGAAATAAAAGATGGCTCAGACTTTCATCAGAGATTCATTTCAGCTTGAAATTAAATCAGGTTTGTTTGATCAAATTAAGATAGTAAATAATAAATGAATTAATAATAAAATACATGCAAGTATACAAAAATTAACACATTAAATAATAAATAACTTTAAATAATGAAAATCTTCAAATTTGCTGACAATAACCTCTAAAGTTTTTAGAAGAAATTTTTGATTTCTTAGATTTTTCCATCACTCATTAATTAGAGAGACATGCTGCTTTATTGCAGTTTTACAGATCTTGTTAGATTTTTAGAGTTGGATTTAAAAAAAATAAATGGAAGAAAAAACTTTCATCAGAAATCAATTTCAACTTCAACTGAAATTCTTCTCAAAATCAAGTTTGTTTAATCATTAAGTAAAATTTAAAAAAAAAAAGATCAAAAATAAATAAAAAGACGAATAATTTTTTAATAATTCAACTTCTTAAAAATCGCAGTCAAGAAATGTGTATAATGCCATTTATGGAAAATGCAGATATGTTTGTATGCGTGTTTGTTTATATATCAAATCACACAGCTTTGTGTTTATATTATAATATTATAATATCAGAGCTGTAGATGGTGAACAGGACCAAACCTGGAAACTATTTTTTTTCCCCCTTTTTTTTTAGCAACAAAGAGAGAGATTTATGGTCATAGCATGTTTTTGAATAGCAGGTTAATTATTTAGGGCACAAATAACCTTTAGGGAATGCCACAATAGGCATTGTGACCATTCTTCTTGTATGTAACTTGACCCTTTTAATCATGAAGGTAACAGTTTCTTACTGTAATTTCACTTCGTTTTCCTGTTTAGAATTACCGAAATGCCATGTAGTAGTGCATTTCCGACTTCGTCATGATCAGAGTGAGTTCGTTATCAGCATTTCTATATAGGACGCATACTCTATGAAGTTCTTGAGGAAATACAATAACTTTGTGCAATCTATGCATGACTTTTCACTTAAGGAATCAATGTTTGTCAGTCTGTTTTGACACAAATATATGCCTTACATTTTCATACTCATAACTGTAGCATAGATCATTAGTACATGTGTAGAGTTTTTTGGTACGATAGAATTGTAGATAAAGTCGAATTGGACATTTTAGATAAGCTGTTCTAGACAGTGTAGAACTATAGTAACTTGCTTAAGCTCTTTTAAAGTTAGCAAAAATAGGCCAAAGCCCTGTTGAGATTTTCTCAATGTGCACTATGGTCATGTATCTCCTGTGTTGATTATTTTTCTATGATTGTTTGTTTGCTCTATTTAGCTGTAGTTTCAAAATGTCGGAGTGGTGGTGCTTTTCCACCACCGAAATTAATAACATAGTTCATGCTTCCATGTATCAGGGGAGTCTTTTCTGCACAAGTAGGTTGAATGTATGTTGTTGGTTTACCTTGTAACACTATAAGTCAACTCTATACTGTTTTGTTTTTTTTTCACATTTTTTTATTTCCTGCATGTTAAACTCTGCTGTATTTTATAGTAATTGTTTTCTGTGACTTTCTTTCTCTCTCTTTAAGACTTTTATTTAAATCTTTTGTGTAGGTACTATTACTATGCATAAGAAATCTCACATTGTGGTGCAGTTCTGGACTGTCGGTTGGTCTCTTGTGTCTGTTCTATTGGATGTTGATTGTTGAAGGAAACTTGTAATATTGACTTAAATATGCATGTGCACCGACCGAAGCTGGTTAAACAATATCACTACTGTATATGTAAGTGGACATTTTAACAGATTTTGATGACCTTTAAATAACATATTCAGGACCAGAGAAGCACCGTTCCCCTTTTTTGAATAAGTATTTATAGGGAAAATCCGAAAATATATGGAGATTTATCTTTGCACATTAGAATGTTTAGCAGAATTCAGAAGATGCATGTTTAGTGAAAACTTTACATGAAGGATGAGGCCTCCGTAACCATGTTTTCTTTTTCTGTACAATCAAAACTAGGAGCAAAATTCACCAGCTGAAATCAAAGACAGCATTTTTCTGTTTCCTATGTACAGCCACTTTCTGAAAGAATGACATTGCGAACGGTACGTTGAATAGAGGTGTATATCGAAGGGAACGCTGTACTGTATATTTATAACTTCTTAATATCATTCTGCCCAGTATTTCTTGAAGGGCTAGAGTAAATGTTTGCATCCATATCACACTAGCGACTGTATTTGAGCACTGTTGAGAGGGCTGTTTACAGGGATGTTACATAAATGCATGCCGTCACAATCACGCAGTTTCATTCAGCATGTTTTGGAAGCATGTTTGAGCTCTTTACAGCATCTTCTGATCTCATTGCTGGTCATTCTATATATTGTATCCAGTTGATTATTTGAATAAACTAAAGTTGCCTTTACATTTGTTTTATTTTTATTTAGGTATTATTAATAGTAGTAGCAGTCGTAATAGTATTGTTTTGACCTGGTTAAATGCCTTCAAGACTTATCTGCAAAATGTTGAACATTTCTGTTAACATTTATCTTGTAGTTCAATGTCTTTATTTTTCCCCTTCTACAAATTTTTCCCAAATGTTCCTTTTTATTGAAAATAAAATGTCAGGTAGTTTTAATATAGTAAATAGTACAGGGATGGTTCACCCAAAAATAACAGTTATGTCATCATTTACTCAACCTTAAATTGTTCCAAACCTATATGAGATTCTTTCTTCCGTTGAAAACAAAATAAATTTTTTGGAAGAAAGTTGGTAACCAAGCAGTTGCTAGTAGCCATTGACTTCCATAGTATTTTTTTTGTGCAAAAAAAAAAAAAACCGGTAAACCGTAGTTTTTCCCTACTGTGGAAGTCAATGGCTACCGGCAAGTGTTTGGTTGCCAGCATTCTTCAAAATATCTTCTGTGTTCAAAAAAAACATACATGTTTGTAACAACTTGAGGGTGAGTAAATGAAGGAATTTTCATTTTTGAGTGAACTTTCCCTTTAAAGCAATATTCTGTCATCTCACTTTGTTCTACACAGAAAACAGAAACCCATACAGTTATTGACGGCATGAACATAAGTAAACTATGGCACAATTTTAATTTTGTCGAATTAACTTTTATTTTAAACCAATAACTATCCATGTAAATTTTGATACATCACTAGAGGGCGTCAGAGGACAGTGCTCGTGCTTCTGCAAACATATAAAACAAAATATAACACATAAAATATTTATCTTTCAGTGTAATATTTAAAAAATAAGATGGATAATCTTTATAAACTCAAAAATAGATATTAAATTAGATCAAAGATATTAAATACGAGATGTATTTGTAAACTTAACTGTCATATTCACACATTCACTTTCTAAATATGTAAGACATTCTGCCATACGTTTTGCCTGGAAATTAAAGAAAATCTGTAGTGTGTGGGAGGCGCCACAAAATTGCAGTCTATGCGCAGATATGTGGAATTTATGATGAGCGTGAAGGCTTCAGCTCGCAGGTTCCTATGGCAACTGATCAAACGCTTCTTGACTTGAGCTCTGCGCCGCTCTGCGCTTGTGTCCAGCAGTACGCAGTGGCGCGCAGA